CGCAAACCCCCCCCGCCCCGCCGCCCGCTCCCTCCCGGTTCGCCCTCCTCCACCTCCGCCGAGCCCTCCGCCCGGGCCGCCCCGCCGACGAGTCCCCCCGGCCGCGGCGCTGCGCGGGGGTGGACGCCGGGAGGGAAGCGCGGAAAGTTGGGCGGGGAGCGGGACCGCCTCACGCTCCCCCACCGGCGGCTCCCCCGCCTTGATGAGGGCGTAGGGGCCGCAGCCGCCGCCGCCGGAGGGGGCCCGGACGCGGGAGCCCTCCTCGCCGTGGTGCTCGGCGGGTGATGCCGGGGCTTGCGCTCCGCGCCCGCTCCTCCCCGCGGCTGCAGCGGGAGGCGAGGGGCGAAGAACCCGTCCCGGAGGGGCGGGAGGGGAAAAGAGCGGCGTGCCGAGTCAGGGGCGGCGGGGGAAGGGGAGAAAAAGGGACCCCCTTCCCGTAGTGGGGTCCCACCGTCTGGGGTGGCTCCAAAACCACGGACCTGTAGCTCCGAGCCGCTGGTTGCCGGAGGTGGAAGTGTCGGGCGTGCGGGGCAGAACTGGACCCTGCCAGCCCAGAGAGTGGGACCTAAAGAGCGAAGGAACGCAGCGTGTCAGCGCACCTGGCACCGACAGCAGCAGCTCCACTGTTAACTCGTTTCTGAGGAGACCCAGGCTCATACCAAGAGGAGTTGCATGGGACAGAATAAAGGTTGTGCTCCAGGATACTCAGGCTGTTGGAAAGGCTGTGGCAGCACCTCTGAAGGGGGCAGATGTCCCAGGCTGCCCCATCGCTCCCAAGGCATTGTAACCTTTGCTTCCATAAATCAAAGCTGTCACCTGGGCCACTCTCCCCTTTTCCCATGCAACCGTGTGCCTCTTGGAATCACAGCTTTAGCTCCTAATCTAACGATATCCTCCTATCTTGACTTTTCTTTCCATTGCTGTTCCCAACCAAATTAAGACACACCAACTTTATGTTAAAACAGAGACTGCATTCAAATCCTTTGTATTAAATAGCATCTGTGTTTGCATTCTGTTTTAATACAAAATGCTTTGGATTGCAGCTAATACCAGGAGATATGAAACTGGTTAGTCCCCACATGTTGCACATAAAAAGAATTCATAATGAGCATCTGTGGGATGTGGAATGGATCCCATGAGTTAGCTGAAGACCTCATAACGTAAGAGCTGAGAAGCCTAAGTGAATTATGACTCTCTTTCCTCGCAAGTAGGATTAATTTTCTATCCCACTTATATTCATTATCTATCCTGTTTATACTATAGGGACATCAATTGTTTGAGTGTTAAATATGAAGACTTTACAGAAACGTGTAGGTTAGATAGCTTGCAGAGAAGAGGGGGGATGTTATTGCTAGGAAAAATGTTATTCAAACTCCATGTTTCAAGAGCAATATGAGATAAAGCTGTGCACTTTTTTTAAAAAGGACTGGATTCTGCACCTTTCTCTTACAACATATTTAAAATGTAAGGTTTACAAAGTACCCTCCATCTGCCTGTGGCCCTCCCAGTGATGTCAATAGGAATTTTGCATGCAGATGAAGGCCCGTATATGGCCTTTAGAGAGCAGGTCAATAAATGGCTGGAGGAATAATTAAAGACTTCTGAGCTGCTCCTTTCCTTTTTCTTACAATATAGTACAAGACTGGCATGAATATAGGCTGGGCTACCACTCTAATTGGCTATGGAATAACACTGAAAGGAATTTAAATGTGGGCAGTAGCCATTTTCCAAATGATCACTCCATTACAGTAGTTTTGTCTGTCAATGTATGGCCAGGCAGTAGAGTGGATGTAATCATGTCCAAGTCCCCATCCATTGATTGTCACTCTCTGCTCTACAGTGGCAACTCTAAGCAGATTTTCATGTTTCAAAGGGACAGCCAGGACAGAGAGCCTGCCATTAGCCAAGCTTGCTTCAGCTTAGTCCTGAAAGTCACTGCTTTTCATCTGCGTGGGCAGAACCAGGATCTCTTGATATTTAGTAAGATCTTTTACGACTATTGATTAATATCTTAATTTAAGTATTAACGTAACTGAAAAGTCAGTCTTGATAACTTTGCTTGTGCAAGTAATCGCACTGAGTCAGTGGAACATCTGACAAATAGTTTTGTGTGCTGTTGACGAGCAAGATTCAAAGGTAAGTTTGCGAATGTCTTCAGAATACAGAAGCATTTTCTTTCTCATAGCCCTTAAAAGATATCAAATAAAAATATGTTCTCTCATATCTGAAGAAAAGTCTGTTTTGATTGTTTGTACTTTTTTTCCCCAAATTAACTATGATGGTAAAATCCAGTAAGATTTTCTGAGACTTATTTGATACTCCGATGAAAATACCCATCATCGAACTTATACTCTGTGCCTTATTAAATTGCATGGACCCAATTCGACACATATTTCACCAGTGCCACAACATACCATGAGGGATCTAAATTATTTCAGTGCAGTATGCTAGTCTAAAAGAGATAAGAATCAAGCCCAATATTTTAAATTTAGTTTATTTCTCATTTTGTTCAAATTTTGGACAGGTTCTGGCATCTAAGTGACATAGTTTTGTCTTGATACCATTGTAAAATATGGTGCAAGTTGCTTTAGTATTGATTAAGTTAAGAAATATTCTAATAGAGTACTGATGTTTCTAACAATGTACTGTAGACCTTACTCTCTTAGGCAAAAACATGGTAAAGATAAAAATTAAAACCACACATGACTGTGTAATACAGTAACATTTAATATTTATGCTTTACATATACCTCTCTATCACAATTATATATTATATCTTTATTCGCATTGTCAGTGTACTACTGTTCCTTTCTTTCACAGGTGAAAAAATATCTCTTCTCTGGAAATTCATTTCCATTTACTTAAAGTTAAATGGTTTGACTTAGAATTTTCATTATCTGCTGTTGGAAGGAGCCTGTGACAGGTATGAGAGAGAATGCTACAAAGCTTCATTGTATCATCTAATTTTTGCTTCACTTTAGTCAGATATCATTTAGGTAGAGAGTAAAATACTATACGTAGAACAGGATAAGATAGAACAAAACAGAACAGAAATAAAATAAAATGAAAATAGGATATATAATGAATTACAGTAGAAAAATGCCTTTATCTTGAAGTGATTTTTTTTTTAGTTATACTGATTCCTCACTAGTGAGAAAATTGAACTAATTTTATATAAAAGGAATATGTCATAACAGGATATGGCATTTATCTTCCTGAGATAGGGGTGACCTCATCATTCACGAGTGGCGTAGCTATGAATGAGTAATCAGCCTCCCCACCCATTAAGTGTAGATAAAGTCCACATCTTCTGTCTAAGTATTAAATATTAGATTTATTATTTTACAACTCGCCATCTCTACAAGTGTCCACTGACTGTTACTTCAGTTGCTGCTACCAATATGTATCGTTCAGTGTGAAGCAAAAGATGCTCCTCAAAAGATGCCCTGCATAACAGCGAATGGAAATGAAAATAACAGAAGATGGACCTGCAGGAAAAAAAAAGATGGGCAGAACAGGGATAAAGAAACTCTTTAACTGACCTGTACTTTTTTTTTTTTCCTGTAATATTGCAGGAGTTTTATAATATACATGTAGTGAAAATACTTTTCATATTAATACCTCACATATATATGCTACCTCAGATCTCAAGTTATATTGCTAAAGTTACTCCCAAAGAAATTTATATATGTATAATGCGAGAGAAATATATAGTTCGGGAAGAATTCCTTTTTACTATTTATCAGCAGTGCACATTAGAGAAGAGCTGCAGTTAAAAAAATCCAGTTTCTTTCTAGAACTATATAAGATAACATAATTTTCTCCTTCAAATGATGTCACGTGCTGCATTTTGTTTTCATTCCTTTGTAAAAGCAATGCGTGCAGTTTAAAGAAAATATTTGGAGTTTAATTTTAAATCAAAAAGAACTGGCTGTTCATCTGTTTAGAAGAAAACCCTCTAAATAGAACACGAATTTGGGAAAAAGACCATCAAAACTTAAATAGGAAGCACTCAAATATTTTCCATCTTCACAATTCCTTGACATGTACTTAGGGTTGGAAGAGCAGATGAGGGAAATGTCTTTTCTGAAAGGTTGTGCCGGAAATGAAGGGCAAGATTAAGGTAGTGTCCGTCCGCCCCCCCCCCCCCCCCCCCTCCGAACAAAAAAAGAGAAGCTGATGGTTTTTTTACCTGCTCATCTTTTTTTTTTAGTAGGGAACAGAATGTTGCTTCTACAGGTCGTGATCTACCTATCTCAGTTCTCTTAAATGTAAAAATATCACATAGGGCAAAGAAAATGTGGGCGCCCCCCCCCCCCCCCCCCCCCCCCTATTCAAAAGAAAAGCAAGCAGAGAGTAAGATAGAAGGAAAGTGCCTGGGGAAAGTAGCATCACTATCGAAATCATAAAAGATGTATAAGGACATCAGTGGAAGAACTAGAAAAACTATTAGAAGAATGCCCTACAGGGCTACCCCAATGGCTCAGCGATTAGCAGACTGTGCTGCCACTGGGAAAATGCAGCGAAGGTTTGAGGCTAATCTGAGCATCTCACTCATTGGTACTGGCAGCCGAGAGCCTTACGAGGACGGTCAGCTCACAGTGGAGAAACACTGATACGTTGCTCCCACACCCAAAGGTATGTACCGAGGCTCTGCTTTGACCACCTAAGGTGTCTCGGGAAGGACTATCAGGTTCTCTCTATCATCAGCTAGCCTAATTCGCTCTCCATGTGAAGGCAAAAGAGCAGCTCTGGCCAACTGCATAATGACAAAGGACAGCTAATTTTCCAAGCCCAGAACATCAGTATAAAAGTCAATTTCTCTTGCATTGTATACTTTGCTCTGGCCCCAAATTTTAGTGAATGAGTTCCCTCAGCACCAGAGGTTTCCTGCAGTGTTGATCCCTTGCAAGTTTTCTAGCAGCTCTGGCAGAAGATCAAGCCAGCTAGTTAGTTTTTCCAGATTCTACCTGTTTCTGCAGTGAGTGTGTAATCTGTGATGTTCCTCTAGGCAGTTTTCACACCTGCATATCCATTTGCTTGTCTTCGAGATCAGTGTTAAGCCTCCAAAGCAGAGTAATCTGCTACTTCATTGGCATCAAGTGGGGGTCATGGAGACCACAACTAGATTGTGCTGCTTCCACCTGTGCAAAAACCTGATTCACACCACATGGCCTAATAAGCTTAATCCTAGAAACTGGAAAAACAAATCATCTACATGCTTTTTATCTTCAGGGCTTCTAAGAGATACTGGCATGTTATCCTGTGCTCTCGCCACGTTCAGATTTTTGGTCCAGTAATTCCCTTTGGTCCTGCTCATCCATAAGATACGTGAAACTTACAAAGGAGACAGGGCTAGTCAACACATTCTTCCCTTTTATTTATTTATTTACCTTTATTTTCAGCCTCTGTCAGTTTTCCTAAACTGACATAATTTCTGGAAGCAGCTGTTGGTGTCCCAGAAAGACAGCATCAATGCGCATCTTAAGGTTTTTGACTGTGCTTAGAGAAGGAGTCTTATCCTTACCCTCACTAAGTAGTCATTCCCTTCTAACAAAAAAGAAACAGAAACAAAACAAGCTCTGTTTCTCTTAATTCTCTTTTTTTTTTTTTGGATGAGCAAGTCCAAGTTAATAATACATACAGAAAAAAGAAAAAAAGCACTGAGCTCTCTTTCAGAGGTCTTTCAGGCAGACCTAGTACAATCCCATGGGCCATTCTTCTTTGGTGGCTACCATTAGTGCTCTGTTGAGTCATTACAGTGAACATAAGACATGAAAATTCGTGAATCTACCCATACCCGTGTTTCCTCCCCTACTGTCCAAGTTGGAAGTTCCAGTCACCACCAAAACCAACAGTGGGAGCTGGGATCTCTCAGCAGCAGAGGTTGTAAGAATCCAGTGCAGTTTAAAGCCGTACTAGGTCCACAAAGCCATGCTTCTCCATGTTTGTGGAGGTTGTAAGAATCCAGTGCAGTTTAAAGCCGTACTAGGTCCACAAAGCCATGCTTCTCCATGTTTGTGGTTATTTTTGGGAGGGGAGGGAGGTGTTTTATAATGACAGCATTATTTTTCCATTCACTGAAGAAGATAGTGCGTGTTTCTGTGTGACGTGGTCCCAGATGGGCAGCCATGTAAATCTGAGACTCTGCTAACAGTTTCTGTAACTTCAAGCATACATAAGAGTCAGAAATAAATACTTGAATCTTTGTACCTAGTGCTTTTCCAAAAATAATCAAAACTTGTAGGGAAATACATGTGTCAAAGACTTGAATGCAGGCTAGGCTGACTGAAAACGTATCCATGTCTAGGCACAGGAATCTCTAACAGAGTACTGTTCTTATTTACAACTATTTGTTATTCTGCAGTTTCATTTCTCACTGTTAAGAACCTGACTGTCCAAAACCCTTCCTTCCTTTTTTTTTTTTTATTTAATCAAGAAATTCAAGTATTGAGCATACTCACTAGAGGCCTTCAAAGTTTAAGCACATTTCAAATCTTACTCTTTCAATTTCAAACTTCTCTTGGGTTAAAAAACAAACAAAGCTTTCTAGTATTTATACATGGTCTAGCATAAACCTTAAAGAGATTGCTTTATTCACTTTAAAGTTAGACCTCCATCCATACTACTTGCACTTCTGTCACTGCTATCCATACTAAAGTAACCATTGAGAACTAATGAATGTGACATGCAGGACCCAACTAAGTGTCCTTTACTTTTCACTCTTCAGAATTCCTTCCCTGGGCAGTTTATATTTGACAAAACCACAAAATAATCTGAATATTTTTAGTCCACTGCTAGACCCTTATTTTAATTTTCATTTTCACAGATAGGGTCTCCCACAGACTGGTCATAAATTGCATCAAATTTAGAACGTCCTGAACTCTAAGAGTGAGTTTCTTTCTTGTTCTTTGGTTTTAAGTCTTCTCATCACTTCAAGTGTATTTTTATTATCAAAAGTGGTTCTGGACTGTAGTTGCTGTCTAAAAAGAGTTGAATACTTCATTCACTGGAAATTACCCAAAAAGGCTACCTAACATTTTTCTCTTTTCACTGCTGATGGATCACATTATCTCATTTGTTTACACATGAATGGACAACATATAAAATGTCTTTGTGACTTTTGAGATTTGCTCTATTAGGTATTGGCAATATATTGGATGGAGAACTTCTTGACTTTTTGAAGGAAATAAGCAATGCGATTGCCTGGTCATCAATATATGCCGTTTAATTATGATGAAATTTAGCCATTATTGTCTTGATTACACATTTGAGGCAACATATATTTAGCTATCGAGTATGTATCTTTTGGGTAGACATGAATGTCTATAGGAAGAAAATTATAATTTCTCTTAGTTCAAAATTCATTAATAGGCTTTATCATACCTTTCTTATTCTTGTCCCAAGACAGATACTCATTTGTTTTTATTAACTTGATGGCCAGTAATGTCTGCATTTGCTTTATTTGTACACACCACATAATTTAAAAAAAAAAAAAAAAAAAAAAAAAAGTTGATTCTTTTACTAATCCCTTGATAGGACAGGTTAATGAAAGTTACTACTTCCTTCTCCATATGTGATACAGAGGCAAAAGTGAGGGAACTCATCCAGCCAAACTTTCATTTCTTTTGACGCAAGTTCTTTATTCTAGAGAAAACCTCCTACAGATTTTCAAGCATATTTCATTTAATAGAGATTTGGCCTTTTCAGTCTGAAACAAGAAGAAATATCTGAGATATACAAGTAGATGTTATAGCAGCAACATCTGCACAATGACAGTTTATTTTTAGTTGCAATTTGTAATAAACCCTATTTGTCTCCTCAGCTTCTCAATTTCTGCAAGAGTTTTCTGGAAAAACGTGTTTGTTTTAAAGTCCACAGCATCATGGGAAGTTTCATCATGAAAAAAAATGAGAGGAAAAATTGCTTCCTTTAACATATCAATATTTCTTCCTAAAATAATTAAACCATATGCACATAAAAACTATCATACAGGTACAACTAATTTTGAATCTTGTGGGAGATATCCAGACCATATAGCAGTAATTTTTCCAGTATTCAAATGCAATCACTGAATTCATTAAAAAGTTAAAATTTTGCCTTGAAGAATTTTATTGACAGCCCATGGTATTTTATATGCTATCAATTCAATAACAGCTTTTCTGTGTATCTAGTCCTTCACTATACGCCGAGCAAGTACAGAGACTTCATTTATCTAGAATATACTAGAATCTATTACTCTTTCTGAAGTTGAACTTTTGATTCTAATCAGTTTTACTCCACTGTTGTCAGCTTATGGAGAAGTACAAGGGGTGAATATCTGCATAATAAAGAAGATATTATATGCAAAAAAATCTTGAATTAATAAAATGACTAAAGCTGATATATCAAACACCTGAAGAAGAAAAAAAACAAGGTTAAGATTTTTCTTGAACTCATTGTAAGTCTTACACTTTTTATAGTATACATTAATGATACTTCAAAGTTTGCATATCTGAAGATCGGAAGAAGAAATATCCAGTTTAAACAGCATCAGTATTCTTAGCTTTCAGAATATTCTTATTACGGGTCCTCGCTACATCCACTAACATTACTCTTTTGCATTTGCTTTTTAGGTGAAGAAGAGTCCATGAGCAGGAAAAATGCAAAATAATTTGGCTTTCGAGAGACTGTAAGCTCTTTGAACATATTGTTATAACTGATGATGGTTGACATTGCAAATCATTCTGTCTTCCTTTTACTTATAAGTCTTGATATCTGTAATAGAGTGTGTACATTCTTAAATATGGTGCTGTTTGGTTAGCAGAACATACATCTGGAGTTAAATTATTTAGCTTACAGTTTTAAAATCTTCACTGTTAGTTAGGAAGATATTTACGAACTAAATGAATATCCTTTAATATGGTTTTCAGGGAAAACAAGCATTTAGGAAAAAAAGAAACTTACCATATACGTGCAAAATCTGCTAGCTTGAGTGTACCTTTATAGTTACCAAACAGTATTTCCTCAGGTATGGACTGCATTTTTGTATTGTTCAGTTTATCACACACAATATTGCGTAATCTACAAAATAACAATTTTTGCAAGCAAATGCCTAGAGATTTATTATTAAGTTCACTTATGATGCTGCGGGAAACTGAAATTACTACTAACCTTTCAACAGAGGTCCAGGGGTAAGTGCTCACTATCAGATAGAGAAACTAGAATTTTACTCTCCCATTAACTTCACTCAGAGTTGTGGGAAGATCAGTATCTTTGAGTGCCAAACCACCGGTTTTCATACATTAATATTCAAAAATCTGGTCAACTCAAAATGGAGACCACTGTCTGAGACACAGTCCTTGTTTGGAAAGCAAAAGTGAGGATTTCCCGAGGCTTCATGCTGTGAGAAAAGGAGCTGTGGAGCAGAAGATGAGTCAATGACTTTTCCACCACCAAGGACTGAAATTAATGTGAGTGTGAATCTGTATTTCTTTGTTCAGAATTACTGTAAATGTTCTCTCATGAAGAAATTGCTCAGTCTAAAGATAATTATAGTTACACAGTCATCCAGGTGAATTAGTGCAGGGAAACGAAGAAGGCTCACCTCATTACTAATGGACACAAGCAGTATGCAGCAACTGACTCTAAACGCTGGCTGTTCTGAAGCGCCTTAGCCTGGATACCAGCAATAGTATCAGCTTGGATAGCAGATGTGTATGCCCTGCTCACAGCTAATTATTTCTGCAGAGTGACAGTATGATGGTGATTAAAAATATATATTAATATATATGGTATATTAGACCTATAAATATATCTTGCCTGATTTATTTGGTCTGAGCTCATCTATAAATTGTCTGGCTTCTGAAGGAAAATGGCAAAATTGTCTTGCATGTAGAGGGATAGATTTTAAGTTAAATCAGTGGTTACAACAAAAAATCTAAATGAATGACAAACTCTGAAGAGCTCAAACAAGGCAAATTGAAATACATAAATATCAGAGGGCATGTGTATATCTTGGACAGATAGGAAATCTGAGATCTGGATGGATGGAAGGAAAAAAAAAGCTTCAGATTAAACTTTCCCTCTGAGAAACTAAGAAGAATAAAAGAGCATTTTAGTACGGTGTAGTGGTTAGAACAGCAACACATCTTATTCAGTCACGAATTTGAGTAATAATTGAGTTGTAGTCTATTTCAAGGGAACAAGTAAAAGCAAGTGGGCTTGTCTTCCCCCAACTATCTCCACTGCCAGTTTAATTTCTTGGAAGAATTCTGTAGTTTCCTAAAAAATAAACCAAATGAAGACAAAACCACAAACACACACACACACAGATTCCAAACAAAAAATCCCAATCAACCAAAACAGCAGAAAAACTCCAACCCCACACAAAACATAGTATCACACAAAAAAAAAAAAAAAAAAAAAAAAAATATTTAATTATCCTATTGGACTTTCCGTATGACTCTCATGAAGGACAAGGAAGACTGCTGATCCATTTGTTTTTAAAAATGCCATTCTGGGTTTTTCAAAAAAAAAAAAAAAAAAGCATAAATATTTTGATTATATCCTATTGGACTTTCCGTATGACTCTCATGAAGGACAAGGAAGACTGCTGATCCATTTGTTTTTAAAAATGCCATTCTGGGTTTTTCATCTTCCCCTTCACCACACCACCCAAAAAAGTTTCTAAAATGGTACTAGCAAAAAGTCTGCAAGATGCTTCTTTTTTCATGTGAAGTAATCAGTACTGCTTATCTGGATTTAACAAACTACAACCACAAGAAAGAAGTTTTCATTGAATTATATTGAGGTTTGCTTTTGTCTTTATGAAGCATTTGGTCTTCAAACTATGATAGTGGAATCAATGGTCTGATGCTATTAAAAATGCGTATTAAAGTGAATTGAGAATAATTTTTGATAGTGTTTCATTGAAGTCAATGGACCAACATTATCAGAAGTGAGTCTCATTGAAGTTGTGGAGATTAATTTTTGATAGCAAGCCATTGAAGTCAAAGGGAACAGGCTACAGAAAGTTAACCCCACACAGTGCAATTACATTGAATACAGCCTTGTCTTGTCAAATAAAAGACTTTCTTAAGTATGAGATTTGTGTATCATCACTTTCATACAATGTATTTAAAAAATAGTCTCTGTGCTCTAGATCTATTTTCCATTGATTAAAAATGATATTGTAAATATTTTTAGTTTTAAATTATGAGTACTGCAATTCCAAGTTTCATTGAATGCTTAATTCTTTATCATCATGAATGTCTTTGTAGCTCAGAATAATTCTGTAATTGTGGAACCCCTGGAGTGAAAGAGTTACTTAATGTCCCAGCAACACTGAGACAAAGGACGTAAACCAGCATACGTGGTGTATGTAGGGTAACAAAAGATAAACAAACTATGTGCAACCAAGTCAACAGAGGACTTGAAAAGTCTAAATCAGCTGATGTAGATTAGCTTAAGTAGCCTCAAACCTATCCTCTGAAACTCCAGGTGGGCAATGATGAGACTGAGGCAGCAAAACACTAAATGCCCTGTCTCCTTCAAGTGTAATAGATGATTTTGTTCATTCTGCCTTAGCCACAGGAAGCAAATCAGGTACCTCAGTTCAGAAGACATTTATGGAACTTGAAAGTTGCACCAGCATAAGATCAGCTTGGACATGCTGGCTCCTGACCAGCTAGGCTAGTACACTGCTCTGTTACACTGCTCACACTGATACTCGGTCCTTTAATGCCAGCTCTCAGCAAAGGTTGTGCAGAAGGTTTTTTCTACCTTTACATGGCCTTGTGATGCAGCTTCATAGGAGCATTCAGTTGCAAAGAAATGAAAACTACATTTTGACAGTTTAATACTTTTTAAAAAAAATAATTGAAGTAAGAAAGTTAGATGCTGGGACTAGTCAAATCAATGTGACTTGAAATGTTAGAGATGATAAACCCTAAAAAGCAAAATTTTTAATGGTAACTTTACCACATTGTTCATTGTAGAAGGGCATACATATAATTATGTATGCATGGTAGAACCCTGTAAAGTAATAACTTTTAATGAAGTAGCCCTGTTAAAATAATACATTTCTGGGCACCAAACCAAATATGTACAGGAATACAGTGCAAACCCTCTGAATGATAAAGCAGGAAACTAAAAAGAAAATAAAGAAAACTAACAAAAAGAACATTCAGTAGGAAATTGAACTGATAAGCCTGCTTGTATTAGTAGTTGTACAAGTTTTCATGAAATCAAAATAAATTTGATAAAAGAGAAACTTTTAAAATTACTATATGCTGAAGAAATATTATTTATTAAAAATAAAATATTTTCCCTAAGAACGTTGCTTCTAATTTCATCTCTTCTGCTGATTTCAGGAGAAATATACCAGGAATGCATTTGTTCCTTTTAGAGTATTTGTTTCATGATATATATGTTTTGCTTTATGAGGGCAGTGCTGCACACTGTTTGACAGAGATCCAGTTTCTGATCAGCAAACCTTACTCTACTTAAAAAGCCTGACCCTGTGCAGAGCTTAGATCCAGGCCCTCAAATAGTTTTAAGTGCTCCACTCTTTTTGAAAATAAAAAGCGATACTACCTAAGATCCAGACCTTCAGAGATACTTGGTTTTCTGAACTCCAGCGAGCGCCGAGGTCATCAAGTCTCGGGAGGCAGCCAGCGTGTTGATGCTTCAGACATATGCTGTCATGCTCATACGGCATTCAACTTTTTCTCCCTAATTTGGAACCCAAACTGGAGATGATATTCAGTCTGAGAATGATGGGACCAGGGCATATGAATGTTTGCTTAGTTTTACATAACTAATTGACTCGTCAGGGAGGAACTGAACTTCCAAGGAACATGTCAAACACTAATTTTTGCTTCCCTCAGCTTCAGATTACCAACGTTAGAAGATCCTCAGAAATACAATTAGCTTATTAAGGCTTTCATTAAGATTATATCTTCCAGCGTCTCCTGTTCTAACATCAGATCAATTTGTTGCTGAAATTCATTCTCATTTTAAAGGGGGAGGAGACCAGGGCTCTAGGAGCTGGGGAAGTGACCCACCTGGTTAGCAAGCTTCCTCTAAGTGGCAAACCTCAGAACTGAAATTGCTGAAAAAAGACAGGAAATAATTAAATTTGGAGAGTGGATATCAAGGTGTGAGAAATAAAGAGCAGTCATAAATACTACAGAATATAACATTGTAGTGAACTAATTTTCTAAATTATATTTTGAAGGTTAAGTATTTCTCCCCTTAATAAGACTCCAATAACAGTTTCAGTGTCATTTTTGTGCCTCATATTCAGCATTTCACTTTTCACATACTTATGTATTTCAAAAAATATGTTTTACCCAGATATTGCTGAAAACATATTACCAGTAAATTCTAATAGATAATACAAGAAGAGGAAAAAATTAGTGTTACAAAGATGATGATGTTCCCTATCAAGTTAATTAGTTTATTTTACATCTCTTTATGGTTCAATTCAAGCCCAGGACTACCTCTGTTTCCTGATGCTGTGATGCAGCCTTCTGCCGTGGTGACTTGTTCTGGAGTTGCCTGAATTAAGAGGCAGATGGCAGTGCTTTGGATCTACATTTCTATGGATGAAATATAGCAGATTAAGTGATTCTGAGCTGCTAACCTCAGCCTCTATCCTTCTTGCTTTTTCAGAGCTCTTGTGACTCA